GGAGACGATTGTGAAGGCTTTTTAGCCATTGAAGCTCTGAACTAAGCTGATTTAAGCGGTTGTCGCAAAAGTAACAAAAAACCCATATCACCGAACCTTTAAATCTCGATATCTTGGTTCATATTGTATAATGAGTTATGAAATAGGGCTTGTTAGAATCGTAATAAGGAGATCTATAAATTTGTAGAAGGAATCAGGATGAAATTCGAATCGTAGAAGGAGGATATGGCTTCGGGATATAGTAGGTATTAACAGAAAAGATGGGAAAATTTCAGAAAACGCAAGGAAGAAGAAGAAGTGCGTGCACTAGACGCAGGCGTGTGAGGGCCGCGACTGGGTGTGCGACTGGGCGTGCTCCTGGCGCGTGGGACAGACACACCGAGGATGAGAGGGCGCGTGAGGGCGCGTGAAGCATCATTTTGGGTTCCCGGTTTGTCTCGTTCGATTTGTTTTGACCTGTTCTACCTAGATTGACCTATACTTACCTTGAAAATGGTGAAATATAGGTCTAATTGGAAGGAATTGTGTTGAAATACCCTATTAAATGTACAATCAAGAGAGAAAGGGATTCGAAACCAGGTAAGTAGCGTATCGACCTTTGAACTAGTTCTTAACTTGTTTTACAACATGTGAGTATGTTGTTTACCTGATTAAGAGCTTAATATGTTATGATGAGCTTTGATGATATTGAGTGTTTATTATATATTGTGACTGCTTGCCTGTGATGTAAGCATGATATAAATGATTGTCAGAATGTTCTATGTGTTGAACATGATACATGTATGAAAACATGCAGTAACTGTGAGTATGTTATGCACGTTAATAGAAAGGTTATGACTCTAAGATATGCTTATTGGTTGTTGAGCTATGGCTTATTTATATGGGTATGATAGTCTACTAATTCCCGCGGAGTTCCTGGCCAACGCGCTGTGTGCTAAGTCAGGGAGCATGAGTACTCCTGACCGTTGGTATATGAGATAAACAGGCCGCTAGAGCAATTAGTAGACGGGCCGTATTTGACCGAGAGCGAGTCTTACATACGAGTCCGAAAATTCTAGATAAGCATATTGAGAGAGAGTCAGTAACCTAGCTGGAGGTAACTGAGATACTTCATTTACGAACAGATGACCCTAGTAAGAGAACTAGGAGTCAATGATGAATAAATTTTAAAAAAACACTTGAAAAGATTAGTTATGAATTCATGAAAGATAAAGTTGGCTACTTACTGGGTAATTTAATTACTCATCAAAATTATTTTTAACTTTTCTTTCCAGATTTAGTTGATGCAGGCCAACCGAGGACGAGGACGAGACCAGCGGGCTAGAGACTATTTGGGAATCCATGTCTGTGCCTGTTTTGTGTACTTATGCTTTCGCGGTCAAGAATCTACTTCGGTTATTTTAAGTTTAAATAGCACTGGTTTTAAATGTTTTACTTGATGTTTTTGGAAATATTTTTTTTAAAATTTATCATTGGTTGTTGGAGTTTATTATCGAGGTCAGTGATAACTCCTGTGAATCGCGTTGACGATGAGCGGGTGTTACATATAGAATTGATTATTTGTGCAATTCAAAAACCTAATCAAATTGGCCAAAGATAATTGTGAACCGAATTAAAATAAAAAGAAAAGGAAACACTCCATAGGAGGAAAGAAAATATATGGTAAATATTAAAGAGTTTTAAATGGATGACATCAAAATGAAATTATAACAAACATAAACAAACATTTAAAACTTTATTCATGCAAAGCCTCTAATGTTCGCATGATGTTTAACACATGGGCCAATGTAAATTAAAGAAATAATTTTATAGAACTTCGAACTTGAAACTAATGTCATGAACTCGCAGAGGTTGACTTGGATTGAAACTAATGTCATGAACTCGCAGAGGTTGACTTGGATTTCAAAGGACAGAATTAAACTTTCATTAAGGATAAATTCGTGACAATAACTTAAACTAATCAGATAAGTGACCTTAATAGGCTAAAAATTGTATGAATTATGATGATGTATGAATTGTGTCGTATGATGTCGTATAATAGTATGTGATGATGTATGAGTTATGACGATGCATGAGCTGTATTATATGATGTCGTATACTAGTATATGATGATGTACGAGTGTATGATGATGTAGGAGTTATGATGCATTCTTGATGATGTGCGTAGTATATATATATTTTGATGAATGATGTACTTGATATGCTTGATGCACTTTATAGCAATATGATGAGTATGACGATTGCATGATGTTTACCTTAATATGATGATGTTTTCCATATGGAGCATGCTATATGATGATGAGTGTCATATTGTATCATGTCGTTAGATCGACATAGAACACAACCCTAAGAGCATGAAAATGATATTAATATAAATATCCATGAGTATATGTTACCTAGAGTAACAAAGAGATGAGACTAGAGGGATGTGTCAGAAGAGACATTATGATGGATTTAGAGGGATCTCATGCATATTGTATGTTCATAAGCATAGGGCTACTTCCCCTACAGATGATGAGTGCAGATGCGCACAGTATAATGATGAGTGCGAATGTGCACGAGTGCCAATGTGCACAGATGAGGGTGTTTATGAGGCGCATGACACTATAGGGTTCCGCTAACCTCTAGACGTTGCTACATATTAGCTTGACCAAAGGGTCCAGGGGGTGTGCGAGCGCCTTGGGATTCACACTCGCACGTGTGAATCATGTGTAGGGAAGTACTACACATCCAATTTGTTCGAGACTTGAGGTCACCCTTATGATAATTAGAGATAGGTCCCTAAATCATGATTGCATGTGCTTGCTTTTGCATGCCCCCTATAGTGGGGCCACTTACTGAGTATTCTTCGAAATACTCAGGCCGTGTGCCACATCATTGATACTCCAACCACGTGATCGAGACCTATACACTCCACCCCTTCGTATGGTTACAAGTTCAGTTCTTGTAACGGCACAGTAGTTAGTAGATAATCCAAGACTTGAGATAGAAGAGGCAGCAGATTCATATATGGAATCCATACAAATTATTCAACAAGTTTTGGAAGGAATTCCAGGAGGCGGGCGGAAAAGAGGGGAAAGCTCTCCTTTCCTTGTTCTCCTGTAGCTGGATTCTCCGAAACCACAAGAATCTTTAGTTAGAATGGTATTCCAACTCAGTACGTTTTGAGATTTTGAGACAGTACGATGAAAGTTGTAAGCTATGTTCGGGGGGAGTTATTGTCTATTGTTGGCCTATATGGTAGAATGAGTCGGGGGCCTGAGAGGCGGTGGTTTACCCTGTGGCGTATGTCAGCGGTTCGAGGCCGCATATCTCCAATTCATGAACTTTGCTGATTTAAAGCTATATGATAGCACTCCATTTTTCGATTTGGTAGTTCGATCTCGGAATGGAAGAAAAGTAATGAAACCGGCGATGGCTACTGAATAACCTTCTTTGACTTTCTAAATAATAAAGCCTTTGACTTTTGTATTCGTTTGTCAAATCTTGTTCAGTTCCACGAGTTCCAAATCCTGTCATCTCTACCTATTACTTATCTTTTGAACGGTAACGAGGAATCAATTGAGGTAAAGGCAAGGCGCACTTGTACGGAGGACGACGACATCGCGAGGAGAGATTGTGGTACGTGCATAGGGTAGACTCATATTTAAATTCCTAGTCTTAAGTTAGAATAGGTTGTTTTGCATTTCATTATTTTAAATTATTTTGTATTTGTTTTTATTTTCTCTAAATTTCAGTATTTCGTATTTAAACACGTAAGACCATGGCTGTGTTTTCCAGAGAAGAAGTTGTTTTAAGCATTTTTCGAAGTTTACATTAAAAATGATGTTCATGTAAGAGTTATATTTCTGTATTATAGATGAGCATGAGACGTTAGTAATGACTCCGAGTATGTGGAAATTTAGGGTCGTTACACGTATAAAACTTACAACATGAGTAATACAGAAGTATTGTATCCATCGTTTCCTTAAACCATGTTTTTTAATTCGGATCTCGAACATGTTTAATGGGACCTTATACATGCAATATTATTCGCGTTTCTTTCTCTTATGTCGGTTTTTAGTAGTGTAAAAGTGCGCTAGTCCATAGTCAGGCCTAAGGGGGTTTTTGTTAGCTAGCTGATACAGTGGATTCATGCGGACGTGTGTAATCCATGTGTAAAGAAGTATTATGATTCAACATTACCCGGAAGAGGAAGTAGAGCCCAAGGAATTAGGTGCCACCAATGATGATACATGTTATATGTGTATACATATTCTAACCCGAATAATTGGGTCACTTAATATTTTAAATAATCATCCTATATTAACGCCCCTAATTTTCTCTACCCTAATTAGCAACGTTACCTTATACTCGTCAAATCAACGGACAAGAGTTCACGTGGAACAGTCTCAATAACGAAAATGCATACATCAATGTAAGCAGTTCATACCTAGGAAAACGATTGCGACAACCTAGCCTAGAAGTAATCAACAGAGAACTAGAGGAAATAATTGCAAAACTATGAACCCAAAAGAATCCAACCGGTGCCTACGACACTACACTCTTCTCAAGATTTCCATGGCCCTTCGCATCATCCACCGTCACCCGTACATGGGAGCCTTGCCCTTACCTGAAAATATTGGTAGCACGTGGCTTGAGTATTATATAAAATACCCAATAAGTCGCCCCACTGTTGGGGTTAAGCATATATTCATACATCTGGATACAAGCAATCGCACACAATACATCTATATGTCGCACACGACACACATACATGACGCAAACAACACGCATACATGTCACACAGAATACCCATACATGTCGCACAGTGTCAGAAGAACAAAGCTGAGGGAGGGGTCTGTCTTCCATTCCTTCCCATGGCCTTAGGCCCTTGCTTTGTCCGGGCGGGGGTGGATGCATGGTACTTGCCCACACATGGCCCACGTGTGTGTCTGTGGGCCCACCAGGCGAGCTCGTAAGCGAACTCCCTGGGCCTGGCTGTGGGCCCATCAGGCGAGCTCGCAAGCGAACTCCCTGGGCCGGGCTTGGTCGGGTATGTATGACATACAATACCGGACGCCACGGACAAAGGAGGGCCTGCATGATATCGTGGCGAACACAATATCAAATACACGCATCCATTCCATCAGTAGCATAACGGGGGAGTGTCCCGGGTACATAACCATCGCGTGCATGAGGTTATTAAGGTTTACCTCCATGGCATTATACATCCAACGTTCCATCCCCTCGCCGCATTACATAGCATAACCGGGTCCACGTTGAGCAGCATATCATAGCATAACCGGGTCCACGTTGAGCAAGCATGTCATAGCGTACTAGTCATCTCATTCATGGCATGCGGGGTTCTCATTACAATCATGGCATGTCAATCAAACTCATCATACATACAGGGTAACACACCGTGTCACAACATCATATTCATAAACATGACATACATAGCAATTCACTATAAGAATTGCATACATAAACATAGCATGCATAGTATTTCATGCAAGAAACATCCAACCTAGCATACAGCAACAACATATGGTGCATGCAAGGGCCACAAGACACGCACCAACATACATACATAACTAACGCCAACAGTAAGGTTACTTACCTCCTTGGCCTTGGCCGAAGTCACCCACAATGCTAACTCCGGCGCCTAACTACCTCCTATAAGATAACATGATACACTTAGAGCCCTTTCACAAGTAGCTCTTATGCCTAGCTACCAAAGGTACGTCCCTATCACAAGCTATTTTATCACAATGGAGTTATATTGACCTCAAATGGCTGAAACAAGGGCGGGAATGGCTCTAGAAGGGTCAAAAACCTAGAAATCGATATACTATTCGAATGTCGAGCCGCCGATCCACGCCGTCAAGCCGCCAGTGGAGCCGAAATCAACGGGCTGCGAAGAACCCTAACGGCGCAAGGTTTCTGGGCGCGCCTCTGGTTTGGGCTGAAAAGGAACGAGGCCCAATGGTGGTGTCTGAGCGCGGCCTGCGAGGTGTGGGCTGCACGCCAGCCGAGATGACCCGCGCCCGCCGCTTCGTCTTCCTCGCCCGAACACCTCAGTAGCCCTAATCGCGGGCTTGGCTGCTGTCACCTGTGGAAGCGTTGTCGTTCGTCCATCTCCGGTGGCGCGTCTGTCCCCCCTTGCCCAACGTACACTAGCACCTGCTCCTACCTAAAGCTTGCGGCGTTATTGATCTCCCAACCCGATCTAAAGTCTCGCGACGTTTTCGATCCCTCACTTAAACCCTTCGGCTCCTCCCTCACAGGTATGACAGTGACTCAAAAAGGAAAAGACGGCTACCAAGTTACCTAGGGTTTAATACGCATTAATACGCCCCGGGCAAGGCATGCCTCACTAGAAATCTCACGATTTCCGGCGAGATTTAAGGAGTTTCCCATTTGTTTTTTTTCGCCTTTTTGAAACCCTTACCGTTACACCTATGTTCAACATTTTTCAGATAAATGTAAGAGTTTCATGTACGGATGTCACGACCTAGAATGGTTGCCCTTGACCTACTGAGCAACATTTTTCAGGTAAATGCAACAACCCAAAATGGTTGCCCTCAACCTATTGAGCTAAAGCTCGTAAAGAAACTCTAGCGAAATTCCAACTCCAAATGGCTGTTTGGAGTGAATTTCCCTCTACTTTTCCCCTCTAACTCTCTGACTCGCTCCTTTTTTTTTTCCTCTCTTTTTTTTCTTTTCTTTCTTTTTTATTTTTCTTAGTCATTAACAATCTAATTTAGACTAATGTACACGGATGGTAAAATGACCAATTTGCCCTCGGACTTTGACTAATTTTCTCAAATTTTCACTATTTAGTATTCTTTATTTTTCTTGAATTCCTGAGATTTATGTAAGCAGTTTTCTCTTTTACCTCATCTACAAATTCCATCTCTAAGATTCTTAATAAAATCCAAGAAGTTAGATTTTAAAGAAAAAACCAGGTTAAATATTTCGAGGCTGAGTGTTACGAATTCTCCCATCCTTAAAAATTTTTGTTCTCAAAAGCTCTAATGCCCAATTACAAGAGTAGGACATTCTCTTGTCTACTTTCCTTACCTAAGTTGCTACATTGTCTCGTTGGTAACTCTACTTACACATGACTACTGACATCCTCTCGTTACACATCAACCTATGGATGATGAAGATGTATCAAACTATATAGTCCTCTTGGAAACAATTCCTCGTTTCCCTGTCCTTGTACATGTTTTCAACAACTAGGGTGCTCTTAGAGGTGCCCCACCCACCCTTCTAGGGTTTAATGGTCACAGCTAGGGCTTGTGTCATCCAACCTTTCAACAACTAGGGTGCTCCTAGAGCTGCCCCACCCACCCTTCTAGGGTTTAATGGTCACAACTAGGGCTTTGTCCGGGTTTAATGGTCACAACTAGGGCTTTGTCGGTCACAACTAGGGCTTTGTCCGAGTTTAATGGTCACAACTAGAGCTTTGTCATCCAACCACGTGACTTCAAAATGTCATGAAATCAAAAATTGTTTTTTAGAAAATTCTAGAAGGAAATTTTTTTGAAGGATCTTGAAGGACACGTAATGGAACTTGAAGGACTATTTCCGCATCTCCCTAACCAAATCCTCCCACAGTAGGATTACTCGTTAATTGTTGCCAAATCCTCCCACATTTGGATTACTCGTTAATGGTTGATCTAGTTTGATAGATTCGCTATTCGCCATCTGAAACAAGAAGTTCTGGTCCTGGAGGGATGGTCGAATAATATCAACCACTTTACACTCATTCTATGGTTATTTCATATCCTCCTTTTTCTTTTCGTAACTTGGTTTAGATTCCATATTTGTCATCTTATATCTTTATTTCCTTACAAAAAGTAATCATTTGGCAATAAAGAGTTCTAAGGATATTTTGGTCATTTCTCCCTAATCATTTTGGTTATTTCTCCCTAATCATTTTGGTTATTTCTCCCTAATCTAAATGGCCCGTTAGAGTTTATTTGGTGGATTAAGGTGATAGTTACTTAAATCTCATAAACAATAACAACTAGGTTTCTCTAAACTCTTTGAAAGATAATATTTCAATGTGGATAATTTCATTTGCCTCATTCGATATGCGCCCCTCAATGCATCTAGGTTATTATTTTAATTTTGATCTTTAAGAACAAAATTTGATTATTTTTAATTATTTAAAAAGAAACTTCCACAAAAGTGGAGTATTAAGTATGTTATGGTTCAACAAAGATGTGGTTTAAATGATTTTATTGAGATAGAATAATAGATCAATTAATAGAGATTAGAGAATGACACATAATAAGATCATAGTAAATGACCATAGTGGGCGAGATATGTGTCTGCCAACCATTTACCCAAAACAATCTCTGTTTCCGTATTAAAATGACCACGATCCCACGAAAAGCCTTCAAATGTGGTAAAGTTTACCGGCAACTCTCGAGAGTCGATAGTAATGATGTCTGGAAGCTCTTTTTGGACTGCATCTTCAGCTGCTCTCACTGCCGGCAAGTTATGAGTATCGTGCTTCATAAAAAAGTCATAAAGGGATATCTTAACAATAATGACCGGTAAAAATCTAGGTTTTATATCATTGCGGATGTCGGTGATGAACTTCTTTAAGTTGTCTTTGTATCTTTGAGCCGTGTCATTCATAGCCGCATCGCTTTCCCCTTGATACCAAAACAAAGCACGCACAACTCCACCTTCTTTTTCTGATGTTTTAATTCGTTCAATGAAATTTTGGTAAAAAGTTGCACTAGGATTGCTAGGGTTTTTCATCCATTGTTCAATTAAAGTGCCACCCCTAGCACAAGGAACTAAACCCACGATGCCTGCCTTTTGTCCAGCTTTTTCTTTGAACTGGTGAGCAAACGGTATCCCCGGACCAATCCCTGGAGTGTGACTAATGTCAATCCCCAAATGGAGAGGTTCATGTGCTATCTCCCATTGGCGCTCAGGGTTCAACCGTAGGATGGATGGGTTGGATAGACACTCTAATGGGACCTTTCCATCCCACACAAGTTTCCCGTTTTGAATTTTCTCTACCCCACCTCGTCCAGCCATGTTGCTCTGACCGGCAAGGATGAATATGTTGGTGGGAGAAGTAGCCCCGGAAAGGGAAGGGCTAAACAATATCATACACAACAAGACTGATAGTTGCAGCAAAACCATTTTGACCCCTTGTATATGCAAATAGACACAGAAGAAGAAAAGTATGAAGGAATTAAAAGCTACTTAGCTTTTAGTGTATGTGCATTTTGTGTCTATTTGCACATACACAACTACTCTCCCGTTAAAACTCTTATCACTCTCCTTCTATTTTATAATTGATCTATGCTTCTCCATTCCTTTGTGAATGATCCTCACTTTTTATACTTAATTTTGATTCTATTTTTAATATTATTTAACTTTCAAAATCAGTTTCAATTTCTCAATATTTGTGGATTGAGAGTATTTTTTGATCTTAATAGTCTTAGATCATACCTAATTTGTCTAATACTCTATATATAGAAGTATAAAAATAAATTTTCAAATATGAATTTTATTATTTTATTATTTTATTATTCTTATTATTATTATTATTTATCAATCTCAAATGCCTTTTTCAATAGAATAAAAGATGGGATCTTTTGACATTAAAATATTAGAAGATTTAAGTTTTGTTTGCTCCCCAAATAAACTCTAAGCTCCTTCTTCTAAATGGATGAATATTGTAGGTTAAATTAAACCAAGTAAAACGAAACCTAGGAACGTTCGACCAAAACGAGAATAGGAGCACGAAGGAGAGCCTAAAACGTTAATGAGTTAGATTTGATGAATTTTTTTGATGCATCAATAACATGTACTCTTTGGCTCTATTTATGTGCTATATTTAAGTTATAAAATCTGAATGAATAATGTGATATATGTATGTACTTTCTTTTATCTTTGATGATGACTGCGATGTTGATGTGACCATGTTTATGCCGTTTGGGACACTATGACGTATCATGTTTGATAAGAATGAATGAAATACCTTAAATATGTA